TGTAGGTTGATAAATACCCTGCAAAGACATAGCCAACTGGATTATTCCACAGAAGAAGAAAAAGACATTCTGTGTAAACTTTATTTATGTAAATAAAAGGGCAGAAACCTAAGAAAAAAAAAAATATAACAATTACCAGTGCCACTTAAGGTACGTTTAGTTTTTTATGGAAATTAGATTACTATTCTAATGAAATATCTTAAAGAAATAGCAGCTACTTCTCTCTTTCCATCTCATAATATTTACAATTAATATGTTTATTAATGTTCATTCTTTAAGTAACACATTAAAGAAGGAAATATTTAAATAATACTAAGTTTTCTGTTCAGGAACAATAACAGCTTGTGCTTGAGAGCTGAAACTGAGATCCAGAAAAAGAAGTTGGCACGGAGTGACCACAAAATAATGCATCAGTACTAAAACAAACCGAAACAGAAAAAAAACACATTCCCCCTCAAAATACAGTGAAGAGAATATACAGAGGGACATAAATGGGCACAAGCAACATAAAAATTCTTTTCAGTTTGGCCACTTTGTTTCAAACCTGGTACTAAACACAGAAGGACAACAGCAGGGGAGGCTAAAACCAGGTCATTTTGTCTTTTTCATCTGCAGTAGTATATTGTTATTACTGTTTTCAAGCAGTAACAAAGAACAACTGGTGTCTCTGTTTACTAATTTAATAATGCACAAACAGTGAAATTCAAGGAAACTGAAGCACAAAAAATTACGAACAGTGTGCTTCTTCTGAAAGTCTGATAATTAACCTGCAGAGGTACCGACACCAACATCACTACTGAAAAAAACAGCTTAATGAACTCCAAAAGAGGCTGAGACATTTCAGTGAGTAACATCAGAATCTATCCTACCTAGTTTAAAAGCTTGCATTTTCAGGATTGCGGTGTTACTGACTATTGAGATGGAAAGCAAATAAAGCCCTATTTTCAGAAATAGATTCAGAAGTTCCTAAGTAGCTTTTCAAAAGAAATCCACAAGTAGCCTAAAACATTCACACACATAAAGGCTATAGAAAGATTTTAAATTGTGGGAACTTTCCCCATAATGGTTACAAAATGCTGTTTTTTGAGACTGTTGTACAGCTAATGCAGAGGATGCTGAACTGCCATCAGTCTTGCAGGTCAAATCATGGACTTTGCCCAGGCAATCAACAGATACTACAGAGCAAAACTGTACTACCACAGACCTTCCCCTGCCCTGTGATCTGGTCACATTCAAATAGTTACTTGGAGCAAGGCACCAGTCAGAGACACATTTATTCCGTTCTTATCAGATTGTTCAGTAATCTCCAACATATTCTGCCTACAGTGTCTGAAAGTGACAATTCAAAGATAATGGTGGCAATATCCAAAGTTCTAAAGACATTGAGTGACTTTTAGCACAATGCAAATCAGCACTGTGACCTGGGCTGCACCAGTCAGAGCAGTGATGGAAAACAGAGAGTGCCAGCAGTCTTGTCTCTTTCACTTCTAAGAAACACACGGGTGAGGAGCTGGGGGGTAACTTCCTCTGCTAAAGTTGCTTCTCCTTCCCTGCATGTCATCCAGCTATGAGTTTAGTCTCTTCTGAGTGAGATTTTAAGAAGAGGGAGGTTTTTGGCCTGATCCAATGATTACCTTTTTCTGCCTTTGTAAGAATGGATGAGATTTCGCATGCCCACTGTAACTCACAGGACAGAAATTCTGGCTGCACACAGTCCAATATTGTGCTGGCCCTTCATAATCTGACAGCCACAGGAAGGTGACTGCCTAAATACTTTTTAACCCCCCAAAAATTGTAACAACTAACACAGTGACTATTTGTTTGTCTAATATGTAAGAAATATCAGGAAATTCACCCATAACCATGAAGCTACCACATAACTATTTAAAAAGAAATAGTAAACCTAGGTTGCTTGGGTACTTTTTCACAAACACACCAAAGGCAAGCGTTTATCAAATTAACTTCTTGAGATTATTTATTCAAGGTATGCAAACAGAGTCCATTTATTCACTGCTATGGAAGATGTTATTTGCAGTTCAAAGTACATTTTCTGTAAATCCTATTTTAGATCTACCAAGAATGGCAAAACCCTTGATTAATTTTTCCTAAGAGGTTTGTATACAAATTACTTCGGTTACATGGTTTTCAGACAAGGGCAGATTAATTCAGCTGCTTGGGGCACATAATAACTCTTTCACTCATGTGAATACACACACCCTTCTCCATAAAAGGGAAAAAAAGAAAAGAGTAATCAAGAAGGCCTAACTTTGAGAAATATTCAGCAGTGAAAATTTCCAGTAAAATCAGATGGAATCTGCTAGGGAATATAAGCTTTGCAAAATATTAGGATTAGACCAGCATACGGAGTGCAGTATCTTCATTTTAAGATTGATTTCTGGATGAGGAAATTGCTCTTCTTGTGTAAGACAAATCAGAACTACTGACCTCAACAGATACACATTACTTAAATGCAGCCTTGCAGAATTTCTGTCCTTTGAGTTACTTACAAGCAAAATCTTACTGATACTCATAAGGGGCAAAAGATAATTAGATCAGACCACAACCCCTCCCTCTTTCTAAGTTCTGGAAGTGACTTTTAATACTTTTGGAGATACATGACGTGTAAGACATTTCTGAGGTATTTTTCAGAGACTCAGAAGCTGCTTAAGCCACTGTATACATGAGTGAGAAACAAAGTTGCTTTGTCTTTAAAATCCTTCATCGCAACAGCAACAGATATTGTGATATCTGGGTTACCCTGTTAATCTGCCACAAGCTTTTATCTGAAAAGACTTTTGTTAAGTAGCTTGCATTTGGCTTGGTCATATGGAGAAACACTCCCTGCTCCACAGAGGATAAGGATTTGCCAAAGACTGTTTATAAACTGAACTTTTAAGGAGCTATTGCGAATAGACTGGACACAGTGTCACACACACACACAGAATCGCTCGGTAGGAAAAGACCTCCG